AACGGTTAGGGTGGCTGGATTTCCTTAAGCGGAGGGAGATTATGCACAGAATAGTTTAGGAATAGATAAGGGTTAAGGGCCAGTGTTGGAAGACCATAAAAATATGGTTATTACTTGCATGAGAGTGGAGGATTGCAATTCCATTGCGATTGTTGGAAAATTTTCTTAAATTGCAGGAACTGACAATTTTTGCATTTAAATCCAACCCTTTGAGATTTTTCAGAATCTTTGAATGTAGTGGAACTGCCTTATTCCTTACAGAGCAGTACAGGACAAATGGTCTTCCTAAGCTTTTACTGCTATCCTGATTTAAACAGATGTTCTCAGAATCATCTGATTCAAAGTAGGTCCAGTCTTTTTTTTCTATCTATCCTTTTGTTTTGAAACCTATCACATTCTCAATGTTAGAGGAGAAAGAGCGTTTAAAAACATACACACTAGTGGACTTTATCCTTTTTTTCCCTTTTTTTAATGCTATTGCATTTCTGAGACATCCACATAGAGAAAATAGAAGAGAAAAAACATGCAAGGGAAAGATTCTAGTTTAAGCTTCCAGGGGATTATTATAAACAGGGAGAAAAAGATATTTTAAGGATTATGAGAAGTACCTTGTCAGTGCCTTTTAAGTATAACAACTACTAATGCATTAGTTACAGAATTGTGTGAAATGTAGGTTTTTACTAGGTGCTTTAGCTACAGTATATTCATCTTATAATCATGTCCTAAATGGTACATGATATACCTCCCATTTCCATCTTCATTCCCTCCAACCCAAAAAAGTGGTTACTTAGACACTCTTCTTCCCTGAGTGATCAAGAAAGTCCTGTACAGTGTGGGATGTTGCAAACGTGCAGTTATCTGCTCACAAGCATTTGGAGAAATTGTTTATCACCTTCTGTAACGTTGGGATGTGAAGACCTTGTCCTTCCACAAGGATAGCTACGCCTGTCGCGGCGATCATCACCGAGGGTGCAGCGTCCGCGGGCCGCGTGCGTCTATCCTAGTGTGGGGCGGGATAGGCGGGGTCTCTACACAACAGGCAGAATAGCTGTGTGGTGAGGAAGAGGAGGAAAAAATATATGCCTAATAGGATTCAGATCTGGAATAAGGAGTGGGCCAGGGATCATGCTGGGCTTCAGTCACATGCAGTGTCTCGGGCACCTCTTATCCAAGCTATGACAAGGCTGCAATGTAGTCAGCCTTCATTTACCACTTACTGCACTTCTGCAGCAGCAAGAAGTAAGATCTGCTTGCTAGTCAGTAGCCTACCCCGGTGAGCAAGGCGAGCGGGAGTCGGCCTCACAATTGTGGTTCAAACAAGGGAAGTTAAGCTTGTGCGAGTATGGCCAGTGTGGGTTTTGGGAGGGGGGAGGAGGAGGTCCCTCGCAGTGGGCTCCTGGGCCGCCGGGGCTGGGCCAGGCACGGCCCTGCTGTTCGGGGCTGTCGGAGTTGCAGCGGTGCTCTGCGCGCCACGGCTTGTCGTGCTGGGGTGCTTTGGAAAAGCTGGTGGTTTTGACCAAAAAGGTAAAAAAGCTAGAGTAGCGAGGAGAGGCTGAAACATGATACAATTTATTTATTATATTCAAATATAAACTATGACTTCTATCACTTGTTATTGTAACTTATCTTCTGTTACTTGCTTTCTAGGAGGTATTATGAGATAATATTCTGTGTGTTCTTCATAACCTCCCGTGTGTGATTTTAGAAGCAGGTTCAAACCTCAAACATCGTAGGCAGCGCACCTAAATCTCCACTGCTTTTTTTTTTTTTTTTTTTTTGTCATTGGTACTGATACCGAATGGAAAGACTGTAGAGGCATTTTGGGGAAGAATAAGCACTTGAGGAAGAACGATTTGTTAACATGGAGTGCTGGAGGATCTGCCTCTGCATAGGAATTAAGTTTCATTTCAAGTTATAAGAGAACACTGGGGAATACAAAGAGAATAAAATCCCTATTATTTTTTAAATTTTATTGTCTCCTCTGAGATCCTGGTTTTCATATGAACATCAATAGCAGAAATGTAATTTTTTAAGTTATTTTTGTTACTTTAAGCACTGTACTGTTACAAAAGTATACACTTAATTTTAAATGGGAATGGGAATCAATATTTAAAAATATGCTGTCTTAATTAACAGCTCTTTGAAGTATCGTGTGTCTTGTTCTTCTTCCTTTGTAGGCTTCCAGCAGAATTTTCAAATTTCATTAATAATACTTGACAAAACCTAACTCAGCTACTTGTACTTATAGTTGGTCACCCTTGTTGTCCTACAGCTTTCCCTGCTGAAAAATTTGGTTTATATTACAGCTGAATTCTGATTTAATTTGCATTGTGACTGCTAACTGTGAAAATCCTTATCGTGTTGTTAGGATTTGAGTTGGATGTTTTGTTTTTGGGTTTTTTTTTTTTTGCTTTAATTAGCTTACAAAAAGTGTAAATTTGACAAGATACAGTTTCTAGCAAACTTCCAGATATTGCAGTAGTTTAAGTACTTTCTTACTCTAAAATTTTCTCATATAGACTTTCTTAAACTGAATTTTCACAATGAAACATTCTGATGTATGTCTTAAAAAAAAGAACCTCTTTTTAAAGAGATTTATATTTTTTATCCTGAGTGCTCAAATTATGTTGAATATCCAGTAGATGATATAGCAAATTCTGTTTCATTAGTGTTTGTCCTATAGAGCTAAATAAGGCTGTTTGCAATTGAAAAAGGATTGTATAAAAGTGGCAAGCTTTTCCTCTTTCAAGTGAGGAATAAAATCACAGCCAGCAATGAGTGTGTTTATCTAATGAAAAACCTGGTTTCCTACTTTGCCAGAGACTATGCAAATAAAGGGGCACATAATAGCAGGGCGGATACATCTTCAAATGCTTTCCTTCTCAAAAGACCTCTGTCTTGCAGACATCAGCCAGAGAGGTGTATAGATAGGTAGTTTGTAGGTAGGTAGAGATTCATCAGAGCAAAGCAACATATGAAATGGAAATAATGGTAGTTACAAGTTGTATTGTCCTTTTAAATGAACATATTGTGACCTAGGCATACCTAATTTTCTCCTTAATTGTCTTCCTTCTTAAAATGTATTTTCCTTCTTTCTAAAGGTATTAAATATATCAGCCTTCTTCTGGAGGTAATTTGGGAGTTTACAGTTCCCAACAGATGTGTGTTGGATGATTTTTATAGACCAGGCTTTTAAATATTCTGCCATCTAGGAATGAGTCATTAGCCTTCAGCATTACTGTAAAGTTCGAGAGAAGTGTTATACAGACTGGAAGGGAAAGAATAAGCTTATCGCAGATACTAATGCAGTTCATAAAGGTTGTTGGGAAAACAAGACCTAACCTTCATGCTACCTGTGAAGCAAAACTGAAACTTTCATAAACAAGAAGCGTGGCCAGACATTTTTCTGTTTCCTCTTCTGGCTGTTCCTTTGCACACACACTGCTCCACCACTGCGCTCTTGGGTTCAGTCATTGCTTTTGCTCTTTGATCCTTTGAACTGCTGCAGGACCAGCCTCGGAGGCTTGCCTCTTGCTAACCTCATCCTTCTAAGAAGCACTGTATGCAAGAGGAGCTCCGGGGCTATGTTCACTGCTGGTGTTACCAACATTTTAGGAACTTAAGGATTTGTTCTGGGACGTTCAAGTGTCTGACATTCTCTGCTGGGTCCAGAACAGGTGATATCTTCTAACCTTAACTAAAAGCTAGCATTACTTGAACTGGAAATTGACTGACAGTGAAGTTAACTCTTGTTTAACAGTAAACAGCATTGCATGCGGTTGGGAAGATGTGTGTCTAGCTGCCTTCTCAGAATCAGATTAGATCTTATTTCATGTAAAAATTTTAATCTTAGTAAAGCAGTTGGAGTAAAAGCAGCTACTGACAGAATCTGAACTTGAAAAGCACCGAGTACAGTGAGGAGGAAAGCAATACAGAAAAACAGTGCTTGGAACCATAGCCAGCAAATAATAAATGAAATTCATCTTGGGAAAATAAAAGCTGAAGCTCTTTTTGAAGTGAGAATGACAGGAGAAGGAAGGAAGAAAAGGGAAGAAGGGAAAACCTAAGAACAGTGAGCATGAGAATGGCCGAGGATAAGAGCAGGCAGTGAATCAGGCCTGAATTGTACAAAGCTGTAGGCACCTTTGTAGCTTCTTGCATGAGTAATTGAGTAGTCTTACTGCCTTTTATTCATTTATTTAAACATTTCTCCAAGAGGCATGCTAAGCCTTTTCCTTACGTTACGATATAGTTAAACTCAATGTTAGAAAATGGTGGTATTTAAAAAAATGAAGCTGTTCCCGTGAGCAAGGGAACTAATGGTACTGGTGTCCTACAGCAGTGTGGCCTGTGCCTCCACAAAATGCCAGCTCCCTTCCCAGATAGCTTCCCTGATGCCCTCTCAGTCCCCCTGGATCCCCCCTGTGGTCTCGCAGTCTCCTCCCAGTTCCCTCTGCACAAAGGGTTCCTAGCTACCTCTCATGGTCCTTCATTTATGTAATATTGGATTTCGCTACGCTCGTCCCTAGATTTGGTGTATCCTGGGTTATGGAAGTCAGCTGGAACATTGTGTTCATATGGTGCCACTTTAGACTGTGAACTCTCACACTTATATCTGACCTATCTCTAAAGAGCTCCAAATATTTCTGGTATTTTATAAATAGTAAAGAACTTAAACATTCCTTCGAGCTCAGAAACAGCTATGTCTCACAGTTGGTTCTGTGCCTAGGACTGCCTTTGTTCTCCTTTAATCAGGTTCTGCGTGTCGAAGATATTGTAAATTCCTATGTATTTGAAAAGGACTACTGGTTTTTCTTAGTGACTTGGTATTGGTATAATGGGTGACCTCATATACCTTTTTTTCATCTCCAGTGCTTTGGTTCCCGTATACAGACGGTAGTTGCCGTATACAGATAGTTAATGTTTGGAGTCATAGTACTGTGATCACATGCAAAATCGGGTAACACAGCTTAAAATGATCGCATATATATCCTTTTCAGATCCTAATTGCTAGTATCATGAGCAGCTATAGCAAGGACGACTGGACCGAACTTTCAAAAATGGCTGAGGTAATGCTTTCCTAAATGTGTTTCATCTCTTTTGTCTTTTCTTATTCTTCTTAAACAGAAGAGCCGCAATAAGAAATGTCTTGAAAGAAATAGATTCCAAGAGCAAAATGAAAATTTAAAGCATGTCCATTATAATTTGTTTATGCTGTGTTTTCATTAAAATGATGGAAATGTAAATTTAAAGGAAATCTATTCTGTAAAAATGGTCCCTTGGATTTTTAAACAGTACTTGGAAAGCCTTTAGATTTTGAACCTATATACTTTTTATTTGCATTTTAAGCAAACTGTATATTATGATGGATGCCCTGATAAAATTTAATTCTACCTTTGAGAGCCTAACTTGATCTTACCTTGCCTACAGGCACACTAGTTTGACAGCACCAGAAGAAATTTTGAATATAAAACTCTTCAATATTTAAAGCATAAAAGACTTATTTAGTGCTATTCTAGTTTTAATACAGACTTTCAAAAATGATAGGAGAGAAAGCCAGTGTAGATAATAGCAGTCAGCAGGCTTCCTATAACGTAAATCCAGTCTCACACAAATGCAAACAGACCATACTCCTGAAGTTTCGATTTTGAAATCATTTGAAGGAAAAAAACTGTTTAAAAACACGTTCCTATGTCCATAGTGAATAGTATAGGAAACACTTGATTAAGACAGTGATACTGTCATTCAGAAAGATGCGTATATCCAGGTTTAACAGGAAATTGTTATTTTTAAACAAAACTGAATTTTTCCTCACAGATTAAAATATCTAGAGGAAATAAAAAACATATTTTCAGACCAGTAAAGGAAGGCTTTAACAAAATTTTTAAAGAAAAAATATTAGGTGATCATTATTGTTACCTTTAGCTCAGCATTAGATGTTTTATAAATATTGTACAAATACATATGTATGTATGTTTAAATGTATATGGGTGTATATATACATATATATGAATATATTTATGGGTATGGATGTTTTGAGAGCATGTTTCTATGTGCATGCATATGGATATTTGGATACCATTTCTTCTTTGTTCGTAGTGTTTTAAAGCCTCTCATGGTAATATGGGAAGACACTTCTCTATTTTCTTTGGACATTTTAAAGCTGTGAGGGAAAAAATCACTTTGGGGAATTAGGGAAGTGAAATTAAACATCATCAGTAATTGGCTCTGTGATCTTCAACACTAGTCCCTTTTATACCTGTATTTACCTAATTGACCATGAAATCTTTTGTGGAATCCATGCTTGGCCTGAGCTCTACTGTTTTTAAACTGACTGTGATGAATGGCTTTATTGTGCCATTTGCTCCTTTTTCTTTTTTTCTTTTTTTTTCTTTTTTTCTTTTTTTTTTTAAAGTGCAATGGCAATGCTATCTAATTTTAAGACAGATATTTTCAATCTGGGTTTGTGTTTGTTACCCCTTTGGAAAAGAGTAATTATTTAAATGCATTTAATAACGTATCGTTCTTCAGCAAAGTAATTGTTAATCTGCGCTTTGCGGAAGGGGTCACACTTGTTGGGGTGCTCTGGAATCCACTGCTTAGAGAGCAGTGATATTTTACTGCATGCATAAGACCCTGTCCGGAAGGTAATAGATGTGGCTTTCCAAAGAGCACTAGCCCCAGAAGGTACCGAGGACTCTCTCCACAGGAGGACGACCTATTCATACAAAAAGGTCAGCTTGTCATGGAGGCTGATAACACCGGGAACGGCAGCTGCGTAGCCCCAGCTCACAGAGCTGATCGGCAAGTGGAAGATTCCTGAAAGTGATGGAAAAAATGCTGAACCATGGCTACACAGCAGGCAAAAGTTACTCCAGGTCAATAAGAAAAACAAAATGCAAATTCAAAACAAAATAGTAGTTACAGCCAAATAGAAGGCCAAGGGATAGATCCTCATCTTAGGCGGGAGCAATTCAGCAGGGAGAAAATGGAAATGTGTTTGTGTGCTGCCCTTATACACTTCAGCTTCTTTTTCTTTTTAATTTTGACTAAGAGAGGGTGCTGAAGAGAAATTAACACACTTAATATGTTTGTAAGCACAGTTTTTAATACTCTTGTTTGACTTAAGAAACAAAATATTTAACCACAAAAGCTGTGACACGGGCATCTGCAGAAAATACAGAGACAAAATCCATTAAAGCAGAAAAGAGAAATTTACTACTAAGAATCAAAGTTCTTCAGAACACAGAAGCTACCTGTGTAACGCTAACTGCTGAGCCTTTCTCTCATTGCTTCAGTAAGGCCCTATTATGCATCTCATTTTTTAATATTTTGCAGAAACAATTTTTTTTCCTTTTGTATGTTTCATAGGTTGCTGGTGCAGATGCGCTGGAGTTAAATTTATCGTGTCCTCATGGTATGGGAGAGAGAGGCATGGGCCTGGCCTGTGGGCAGGTAGGACTGTAACAGCAATCTCTTTCATGTCTCTTCAGCAATCCTGCACTAGCACATTGATAGTTACACCTCGAGGGGGAAGATGCAAGCAGCAGATTACTGGCTTGAGATTTTTAGGTTGAACATGTTTAAATATTTATTGCTGGAAGTGGAAAATGACAGAAGCTACGAATATACAAAATGCTTAGTTTTGCTGAGAACAAAAGTGCATTACGTGTTTGACAGGGAACAATAGTAAGACAGATAATTTCCAAAAACTGCTTGGACAGAGTTTGTTGGTTTCCACTGCAGTGCCCCGTAGATATCTTTTAGATCACAACCCAATACAAACTGTGTGTATCAATAATGATTTTGAAAGACATGAGATGTACACACATTTCATACGTTGCATTGTACAATTTTTAGCGTTTGAACCTAACTATTTCAGAATCGCAGAATATGGCATACATTCTGGTAGTGCCACCTACAGTTACCTTTTCCTATTATAAGACCCTGTGTTCTGCAGTATATAGATTTGATTGTAGTGTACATTTGGACTGGAATGGTCTGTGTCAGGTGTCTCTGTCATGCTGAAATCTGATGCAGGATTTTTCAGTACTTTCCACGACTTTATTTAGGAGAAAGTGTCTTGTTTTGTCCATGAAAAAACAAACACTCTGAAAAGCCAGTTCTTACGTTCATTTCTCTTCGAAGTTTTCAGATTTTTGCAGGTTTTGGCCATGGTTTTGAGGTTTGGTCTCGCTCAGAAACATGCCCAAATGTAGTAATCTTGGAAGTCTCTGAGAAATCGTGGTTAACCCAATCTCTCAGGGAAGAATTTCCTTAGTTTGGCCTTTAAATTCTCTGAAGACTAAAGCCTCCGGGCTTCAGGTACACAAGAAGATAGTTGAGCTGAGTTTGCATATTCAGGCACTGATTTGGCAAGTCCTAGCTTCTGAGTGCTTGATTTCCCGTCTCACTACTGTTTGGGGCAAGGGAAGAAAGAGAAGGAGGAAGATGCAGCATGGGGATCACAATTATATACCCTAATAACCACATATACTTTTCAGCTGATCCTTCTGGAGGGCTAGTAGACATCTTAATTCATCCTCTCTCCTTCAGCTAAACACAGACCATTTCAGAACTGAGGTATGGTTGGATAACTAAGACATTAACTTTCTAAAACTTTATCAGGGAGATAATAGGAGCTGTAATGATTTCAGTGGAACTATGGACACACTTCAGTTGAAGATTTATCATAAGAATGATACGGTCAGGCCTAGAGCATGGGACTTTTTATTAATAATTTTCTGGGAACAAAATGATGTCGATCCACTCCTTGCTCTAGATTATTATTTTTAATGAAAGTAGTCTAGATGCTTTTCATGGCCAGTGGTCATTTTCCAAAATTTTGATTAAAATGGGAGAGAAAAAAATTATAAAAAGCCTTCAGGACCGTTCTAGGAAAATGGTAATAGTTGTTATTAATTTTTTTTTCAAAAATGTGTTTAACAACAAACAGCTATGGTAGCCATTTTTATCAGTTTGTGAAGCAATTCCCACCCTTCAACTCTGCATGTTATAGCTCAGTAGTTTGAATTATCGTCTCATGAGATGGCAAAACCCTGTGGAAGGTGTGATTTAGTCAGGGAGAGCCGTGAAGGTTTCACATGGAAACTGAAATAGGCTCATTTTTTTCTTTTCTTTTCTTTTTTTTTTTAAGCATATGTTATTTCCAGCCTGCACTGGTTAAAATAATATATGCATGTGAAGTTGCTTAGATGTGTAGTCAGTAGGGAGCTGTCTGGCTACATGAGCTTTTACATATCTTTCAGCTACTGTAAAATCAGAGAACGAAATGCAAAATTTGAGCACTCAGGGCTATCGTGTGGATTTGTGACTCTCCTTGGAGGAGATCAGATCCATAAAGCAAGAAAAAGATTACATTATATATACATACATGTTTGTATAATAATAGTATTTCTCTCTTCCCCATTCAATATGGATATTCTTTTGAATGTTTAATATATACTACTTTCAAATATATCTCGTCTTTTCTTAACTTTCCTACCAAAAATGAGAGCTCAGAAAAGAATCCAGTTCTTTAGACAAATAAATAAATGAAGCAAGCAATCTTTAGAGGGCCGAATCCTGAGGTTTATCAGAGTTGGCTATGATAAATTATAGTGGCTTTAAATGTAGTTTGTCAAAGCAAAGGCTGAGAGTAAACAGGATAAAATAGTCTGTGCTAGGACATTTATTAGTGGCCCTTCATGGGAGTTCCGCATGTGGAGTCCCCTGGAGGCCCCATCATAACCAGGAAAGCGCTAGGAAGTATTTCAGCTTAACTCCTAATATGTTTTTTTCCAGAGCTAAAGTCAAGTAGGTGGTATATGTGTAATGTGGGGAAGAGTGGGCTCAGGTACGCTCTGGAAAAAGTACTCAGTGTCTATGCAACAGGGCATGAGGCTTTGGGAGACAGACTAGCTCTCCTGTTTGAACAGTGAAGCAGGTTTTCTTAAATCTTTTTGATAACATAATCCAGATCTTCATAGGAAAATTTCTTAGGGATTATGTCCCTTTTTATGCCTAAGCACATTAAATCCTCAGGAAACTACAGAAGTTGCTGAGATGAAAAATAAAAGCAGAAATACGTGTATGTGTATTTTTACTGTTTTTAATGTCTAAAATGTTCTGCTTTCAAAAAAAAAGGAAAGGAAAAGAAAGGTTAATTACACTGTCTACTTTTACTCCTCATTTCAATTCCTATGGTGTGCCTAAGGGTAAGTGTAAAAATCTGGGAACATTAGATTTGCTTTTGCTCTATCCTATTTTGTTATCTACTCTTAGACACTCCTACTGTTTTATACCACTGTAAAATTTTAAAATTCCAGATATTTTCAAATAATATATATAAAAATAATAATATATATATCAAAAACTGGTACTAAAAATGACTATTTGTTTTATACTGCATTACAGTTCTCAGCTTTTATTTGATTTTAATTCCAAATCATTAGTGCAGACACTCTGGCGCCTAAACAGCATAGCTAGCCAGAGGGTAATATTAAAGAGGCATCTGTATTTCTGCCAATAAGTTACTTAAAACTGGTTCTGTATAAAATGTCAATTATATTTACTAATGCTGATTAATGATAATAAAGTTAAGATTTGTATTCTTTCATAACAGTCTGCAACTGTAGCTGTAGATCATGAAAAATTGTAAGAGTTTATATCATTAAGTTAAACGGTACTAATGCACAGATTTTCTTTGAATCAGATAATGTAAGTGTACAAAACATTTAATAGTAAACATAAAGACAATATTGTAAACAGTGAATTATTACTGTATTTGTAGTTAACTTTGTATCTCTTCATTGGAAAGTATGCGAAGATTGTTTAAATTTTGTTTAAATGGTATTAAACATTCAGGACCAATACTGTGATTTTTAAAACCACAAATGTCAGTGTTTGGCTTTTTATTTTTGGTCCAAAAGTCAAGAATTCTCTCCAGGTATTCTGGTAAGTATGAGTAAGTAGTTGAACTGGGCTGATTATCTGGGTTTCGTGTTGCATTCCTGCCAAGTTTTATGTCATTCTCTGTTGTTCAGATGAAACCCCAGGTCCAGTATTTGAAATGCTCTATATACCTAGAATCATTAGAGTAAGACTGACTAGCACGAGTGATATCCAGACTTTTCAAAAATCTCAGTGAGTCTCACTGGCCTACTGGGGAGTGAAGAAAAGCAGAGGGAAGAAGAAAAGAGCAGCCTACAGCTGTTGAAGGGGAGTTACAAAGATAACAGAAGCACAGCTGTGAAGAAAGGTCGTTCTCAGTAGTGCCAGAGGATGTGGCAATGACCACAAATTGCAGCCTGGAGGTTTCAGGTTGGACATCAGGAAAAAAATTCACTGAGGGCAGCGCAGCCCGGGAGCGTGTTGCCCAACAACGTCCTGTGATCTCCATCTCCAGAGTTGCAGGACTCAGGTAGGCAAAGCAATGGCTGACCATTAGTAGCATCAGCTGTACTCTTGCTCTGAGCAGGATGTTGGCCTACATAACCTCCAGAAATCCTTTCAAACTAACATTTCTGTTATTCTGTGGCTTCACCACACTAAATTTCTATCTGAAAGCATTGCATTGTTTGTACCAGAGATAGGAAATGAGTAGTGGATAAAGGGAAGCACAAATATTCACTTGTTCATGTCGGAGGAGATGGTCAGTATGACAGAGAGAGCTCAAGTCAAAAACAACACATCAGTTTAACTTACCAAAGCACAGAGGATGCTTCTAGATTTTTTTTTTTTAATGTCTCATACTCGGAGATCTCAGCCTAAATGCAAGAACAGAGATTCTTTATGCTATAAGCAAATATTTTAAAAATTAATAACATCCTATCTTTAAAAATATTTCCCATTAGTCATACCTTTTAACCCTCCAATATGTAGCATATATTTGCATATCTCACCATTTAAGCTATAGGTTTGGAGGACTGTTTGCTTTTCTAATTTATACTGAAGGAAACACATATTTCTCTCTCATGAGCACTGAAATCCAGATCCTGGTTGTTTAACTCTTCAGACCATATACAAAAAGAACTTACTTTGTAATTTTTTTCTCACCTTTATTTTCATTTTACTTAAGCTCTAGTTGCCACAGCCTCTGCTGCTGGCGGTGTTTATGTTTATTGCCTGCAATTAGGAGGCAGAATTCATAAAAGCCCACATTGCCTCGTTCACAAGAAAAGGAATCTGTTAAAAACAACAGCAACAAAAACCAAAATAAAACCAAAAGCACTGGTTACTCTACAGAGATGAAAACTGGCTGCATGGCACCATTAGATTTGCTCTGCCGTACCTTGGAAATAGGAAAGATGGGGCTACTTCTTAATTGAAGTGCACAGCATAGCATGATAATTCGCTGTTGCTCTACAGGCAAGGAGCTTGAAGTATTTTAAATAAATGATGCCCCAAACAGAATTTGATTATATCTGTGTTCATGTGGCATTCTGCTATCACCC